TGAGGGTTTAGGGTTTAAAGGTTTAGGGTTTAGGGCTTGCCTGAGACCAACTTCCAACAGGACGAAAGAGTCAGCCCAGAGCCCGCCCTATTTGTCAGCTTTTTGTTTGGGGTCCGCCTAACGGGGGTTACAATGTTGAGGACGCATATGAAGTAGGGTTAATATTTCTTGTACCCCCCCAATTGGACACCAAATATATATACACTCACCAATACAAAAAGGAACCTTATATGCACTCACCAATAACAGTAATATAAACGCTGCTTCATATGGGAGAATCCCAGTGAGCCTTTTTCCAGGCTTGCTTCGCCTGAGTGCTCTAGGAAACATCTCATCAGGAAACGAGCATCACAGAAACCAGAAGTGCTTGGATGCACCACTCATAAGTCCCAAGCTTGAGCATCTCAGCTGAAATCATGTTTGAGAGGCGCAGCAATCCAGATTAGGGTTTGGGGTTTAGGGTTTGGGGCTTAGGGATTAGGGCTTATGAGGCTAAGGGTTTAGGGTTTCGGGTTGAGGGGATTTGAACTGCGTCTCTCTCCCATGCACGCTGTCAGGTTCTCACCCTAAACCCTAAACCCTCAACCCAAAACCCTTAAACCCCTTGAGGTCAAGGCGAACTACAGCTCCATCACTGCATCCGAACCCAACTTGCTTGTCCTTTCAGGACAAGTCACTACAAGGAGAAACCTAGACCACATTGGAACCCTAAACCCTAAACCCCTAACCCCTAAACCCTAAACCCTAAACCCTAAACCCTAAACCCTAAACCCTAAGCCGGGGGAACACGATCTTGCCGTGGCCGGACGCTGTATGCAGTCCTGCAACCTGACATGTAGGGCACCACATGCCATGGCCCAGTGCAAACTGCGGCAGGCCGCAGGCCTTAGCAACCGTCGCACGAACGCAACAGATTTGATGTGAACAAGCGGGGCCTTCTTTGGGCCATGAAACATCATCTCATTTTTGCTTCGTGCGCATGTTCGACGAAGATTGCCTGCAAAGTGCGCAGAGCACAGTTGCAGGCAAATTGTGACCAAAGCGTACGTAGTACCTTCAGACTAGGCTTCATGCGGGTGGAAGGCTTTCAACCCTAAACCCTAAACCCTAAACCCTAAACCCTAAACCCTAAACCCTAAACCCTAAACCCTAAACCCTACAAGTCCAGAAATTTGAAACTGACTGAACACGATGTCGTCCCTTGACAGGCGCAGGAAGCCCCGAGCCGAGCCTTGAGGTTGAAGTCGTTACCCAAAGGGTCCATGTACCTATATACTCGGGCCTTAAAGGGGTGTAGGGTTTAGGGGTTTAGGGTTTAGGGTTTAGGGTTTAGGGTTTAGGGTTACCCATATAGTATATACTTGGGCCTTAAAGGGGTTCCCATAGAGTAGCTTTAGGGCCCAAGTATATGCTATATGGGTACATGGACCCTTGGGGTTAAATGGTGAAGATGGGAAAGAGCGTTGGAGAGTACACAGGGATCCATTCCGCCACTACCAAACCACCAGTAGTCTCTCTCAAAGCCCGCTAGGGCGCACGTGGGGCTTGGCCTCATTCGCTGGTGGAGCTGTTTGAGTCGTTGGAGTCCTTCTCCCTTGCGGCACGTTTGCACCTGCAGACCTGCAGTTGGGTGTACTGGGTTGAGGGTTTTGGGCTTATAAGTAGGGTCACTCAACGTCAAGCCCAATATGATGGGTTCTCAATTTGGAGTAGTTGTCACGGCTTAGAGGCTTGAAGCAAGTTGCTTCAAGAGGTTCCTACAAGGTAGTTTCCAATTTTAGGGTGCCCCTATGTATCCCAGGAAGTCTAGCAGAACCTCATGACGCTTTTTTTTGTGAAGACCCGACAGAAGCAGGACGCAACATTTGCGGAACCCCTAACCCCCCACAAAGGCCAATGGATCCAGGCATGATATTTGAGGTTTTGGGCTTAGGTCGTAGGATTTGTTGCGCGTCTTTTTTGCAACTACATACAGTCGCAACGCCAAGTCAGCAGGGCGCAGCAAAAACTATTCAAAGTTTAAGGCTTAAGGCTTCGGGTTTAACTGTTGTGATTGTGTTCAAGATTGCGCGGCCCAGAAGCTTCAGGACAAGGCTCGGGGCTTGCCCGTTTACAGGGGTATTTGGGCGATTAGGAGTATACAGGGCCAGGGCAGTAGTGGAAGGGACTTGTAGGGGTATAGAAGGTCTATTGAAATGTAGACGGGCGTATTGGGGTATGACGGGGCATATTGGATTTTTTTCGAGGAAAATTGGGATCTATAAGACAGACTCGTGGCATGAGTGGGATGGTACTTTTGGCGTAAATCGGGATTTCTAAACTTTACGGAGGGAAGATAGGTTTTGGGGCCTTTAGGGGGTATAATGCGGGGTCAGGGAGGGTTGTAGGGTGTAGGGTTTAGGGTTTAGGGAGGGGGCCCTTAGGGGGTATAATGGGGGGGTAGCAGGGAATGTCGTGCCAAGGTGGGCGTAGCCACCGGCAGGCCTGAACTTGAAGGCTGCGGGTTTAGGGTTTCGGGTTTGGGTTTAGGGTTTAAGGTTTAGGGCTTCGGGTTTTGGGTTTAGGGTTTAGGGTTTAGGGCATTTATTCTTAGGGCAAGATCAGAGACAGTTGATTTCGACAAGACTGCGATTAGTACTAGGCTAGCTGATCGGGAGTCGCTCAAGATTCTGGACCGTTTGGCGTCCTTGGGATACATGAAAGAGACCTGATCTCAGACCGAAACCAAACAGGGCTTAGGCTAGGCTTAGGGCTGGAACAAGGGCATATTAAGGCTCCTCATGATCGTACGCTCTCACGTGATCAAACGAAGCTTCATACCCTCGATGTTGACGTCGCCCTTCAGAGAAAAACTTGCCCATACACAAGTAGGATTTGGGTCAGACAGAATCGCACGATGCGTTTATCAGGACTATTTCCAGGAGCCTGCAAAAGGGATCCATCCTTTTGACAGCCTCCCAGTAGTGAATTTTCCCGAACTACACCTGGCCCCGCCTGGCTGCCAGGTGTCAAGAAGAACAGCAAAAGCCTTGGCCCAATCCACGGAAGCGCCGCAACACGGCGCATCCCAAGGCAGGCGAAGACCAGGCACAGTGTGCAAATCATCCTTATTGGCTACTGGCTGTGGGGGGGGAGGGGGCTTTTCTAATAATGCTAATGATACCTATACTAGGAACTCCTGATGATACAAGCAAAAACAGGGCTAATAATAGTAAAGGATTAGTACTATTCATAGTAATGATGGCAATCACGGCAATAGTAGTGGTAGAAAATCTGCCGTTCTACCCCTGGTTGTTGTTCTAGCTGTCTCTGCTGTGGCCAACACACAGCAATGGAAAGTTTTATGCTTGGCGCTTTAGACGTGAAGGCCCCCGAGGTCGAACGCATCAGGAAATGAAAGCCCGAAAGCCCGCGCCAGGGTCATGCACGCCAGCTTTATGAACCCCAAGATGGGAGCGTCACCAGGCAACAGATGGGTGGCTGTCGAAATTATAATCCCTCTAGGGGTACCCTGAATATTAGGTGCCGTATTATAGTAGGGATCAAAAAAGGGACCGTGATTCTGACAACCACCCAAATGGACATCGCAGGTTCTTATTTCAACCTCCTGCCAGGGTTCCCGGACAATGAGAACCAAGCTCCTCGTCCCAGCGGGCTGAGGGGCATGTCATCAGCCCGGAGCTCCCAAACAACGACCACAGGGCCTGGGGCTTCCAAAGAGAGATATGGGTGGTTGTCAAAATTATGATCCCCTTTTTGGGGGTAGACCCTAAATTCCTAAATACAAGGTGCCGTATTTTAATAGGGATCCAAAAAGGGACCCTAATTTTGACAACCACCCATATGTAACCCGGGGAGATATGGGGGACATGTAGGAGATCTGTGGGTGTTTTGTGGTGGGGGGGGGGGGGTTCTTAAAAGATTCAGGGCTGCAGGTTTGAAGTCTGCCATCAGCTGCACTTAAAGTTTTAAAGGATTGAATAGGCCCACAAATTTGCAAATGAGGTTAGCTGAAGAGGTTCGGATTCCCTGGGGGCTCCTTGTCTAGCACGGTTTAGGGTGTAGGGTTTAAGGGTTTAGAGTTTAAGGGTTTAGGGTTCAGGGTTTAGGGTTTAGGGTTCTTGTCTGAAAAGGCTGCCGGTGCACAGGTAAAGCGGCCGAGGGGCAAATCACAACCAGGTAGAGAAGCACTAGCTTCGTGGTCATCTTCAAGATGAAGCATCTTTCTTCACGGGCACTTCGGCACAAGACGATGAGCAACGCAACGCGGGCGAAAACGGAGGAAGCTTGTAGAAGCCAGAAGTACCAAGGGGTACCAAGGTCAAGGATTTCGTACCCGAGGCGAGTGAGGGTCAGGAAGCAAGTCAAGAACAGAAAGACGGGAGCAGCAATCTCAGCGTAGCCGGCACCGGAGATGTCAATGCCAGCACGAGCAACTTCCCGGAGCGTCTGCGACGACATCCCAGCAGTCATCAGCACATGGACTGCATAGTCCACAGCATCCATCTTATCCCCAATCCTGAGCTTTGGAGTAGACCCTGAAAAAAAAAGGTATATACTTTTTAGGTATAAGTAGCGATATTAGAAACCCAGAACCAAAAAAGAAGTATTAAAGTATCGTACTCCAAGACCCAGTATAGTCCCTATATACCTAAGTGGCTACATAAACCCTCTGAGACCTGAACCCCGAAAAAATATTAAAGTATAGTACTCCCTAAACCCTAAACCCTAAACCCTAAACCCTAAACCCTAAACCCTAAACCCTAAACCATAAACCCTAAACCCTAAACCCAGGATCTCGGAATGAATGCGCGCGGCATCCTCTGGTACGGAACAGGTTGCATGAGCAATGGTGCCTTGGAAACCACTCCTGAGCCTTACTTGTCCAAGAACCAAGGGGGAGAAAAAAGCTTAAACTCTATAATATTCCTAATTACTAAATAGGGAAACCCAAAAAAGGTTAACTTTAGAATTCCTACTACTAAGGAAACCCAGAAAGTTTAAAGTTCAACCAATGGCGAAGTAAGGAGCTGTACTTCTTCTTGCTGCCGCGCTCGGCCATTGACACGATCGACCTCCAAGCAGAGGAAGAGAACTGCACCAATGAGCCAGGCAACACGCTGCACGCTGCTGGCCACGCCTTCAACTATGTGTCGGTTCTGGATCGTGTGCCAATGAAACACCATGCAGCCGCACATCACAGTGCCAGATCTGTTCAACACCATGCGCAGTTGGTAGTCGTTCAGGCTGACGCTGGCAAATACAGACGCGAAGGCTAGGCAAAGAGGGACGGTGTTGCCGACGGGCAAATGCCATTGGTTCGTGCACGCACCAAACACCATGCCCAAGACTCCTGGCGATCACAGCAGCCAGTGGGCGCCGGCTGCAAAGAATTTCTTGATTCTCCCTAAACCCTAAACCCTAAACCCTAAATCAACCCTGCTCATAAGGAACTGCGCCAGAGCCCGACTTCCAAACAACCTTAAAACTCAGACTCATCTTGTCACACATCTGCGGGCACGTGCTCGCGCATGTTTCACCATGACAAGTAGAATTAGAAGCTGTGTTCTCCCTAAGGGTCCATGTACCCATAGAGCATATACTTGGGCCCTAAAGCTGCTATATGGGAACCCCTTTAAGGCCCAAGTATATACTATATGGGTAACCCTAAACCCTAAACCCTAAACCCTAAACCCTAAACCCTATATAGGTACATGGACCCTTCGGGTCTGAGAATGACAAGAGCTCCTAGAGCTGCTGTCAGGAGCAGAGATCGGCGAAGCTGCGGTCCTTAGACGGGGGTCCCAAAAGAAGACTGTAGATCTCCTGAAAACAAGGATCATTACAAGGATCATTACAAGGATCATTGGGTTTAGGGGTTAGGGTTGAGGGTGGAGGGTTGAGGGTTGAGGGTTGAGGGTTGAGGGTTCATTGTTGTTTTTTTTTCGCTTGTAGGTCCCTTGGCAGAGTCCAAGTGTCCATTCGATGCACGGGCAATGAAGATTGTCTTGCCCTCTTCGTGGGCACAGGCTTCATACACACACCAAAGCCTGATAGCAGGTGCCGGGCTTGGGTAGACACAAGGCTAGTTCCTGACCTTAATGATTGCATCCATCCTTGTTCGGATTGTTTTTGATCCCTTGCCTTGTGTAAATGCTGCAATGCCGGTTGGGAATTACAAGGACACAGGACGAGGCCCGCAAAGCCAGCGCAAAGGGCGAGCTGCTTGGGGCCTGCAGCAAAGACCCTATGTCCAGGTTCTGGGGGTTGGCCAGCATACAGCACCAGGCGTTCCGTGCAGCCCTAGGCCAGGAGTGCAGCACTTTGGACCTGGGTAGCCCAGTAACCATAATATAATAAGGGTACCTATTTTTTGGTTGGTTGCTTTTTAAGGAAACCCAGAACAAAAAAAGGGTAAAGGGTACCACTGGGCTACCAAGGGACAGAAACTCGAAAACACCTTCCTGCCACGCATGGCTGATGAAGAGGTGGCACTCCAAGCCGTCAGGGTGTATCATCAAAGCCCAACTCACCTTGCCGACGAGATCCGTGACAGGCATGATGTGCTGCTTGTTGACCGTGTAGATGCTCGGCCCAAACAGCTGGTCGGAGCTGTCAAAGTCATCGCTGCCATCATCTGGTGGACAAATCTCACCCTTCTGGATCGCCTGCCACACTTCCCTGCGCAACTGCTTCAGGTCCGCGCGCGTGACGCACCAGCGGTCAGGTGGAACGGACTCGTGCAAGGCAACAGCTGCTTCCGTGGTATACAGGCTTGAACTCCGGGAGAGCATTGCTTGAACTCCGGGAGAGCATCTGCTTGGGCCCTTTTTGGTTCCACTCACGGATTCAGTGCCATGCGACCTAGTCTCCTGGTCTCCTAAACTCCTAACCTCCTAAACTCCTAAACCCTACTCCTAAACCCTAAACCCTAAACCCTAAACCCTAAACCCTAAACCCTAAACCCTAAACCCTAAACTGATTGTTGCCATCCCCAGTCAAGGCCCGAAAGGGCTCGGTAGAACGAGTCAAGCACGCGAAACCAGAAACGGCTTCAGTGGCCTGAACTCCAAGCTCTCGAGTCCACTTCTACCTTATATACCCTACTTTGGAGTAGGTTTAGGGTTTAGGGTTTTGGGGTTTAGACCCTGGGAAAGAGGTATATACGCTTTAGGGAGAAGTAGCGAAAATAGGATCCCAGAACCAAAAAAAGTATCCAACACCCATTATAGTCCCTCTATACCTCAGTAGCTACATTACCCCTGTCCTTTACAAGGGTCCCTCCTTTAGGCCCCTGAGTTGGCGGTCCCAAGTGCCCACCAAGCCTGATGAGGCACAAAACCCTATGAGCCTAAACCACAAACCCCTAAACCCCTAAACCCCTAAACCCTTATAGCCCTAAACCCTAAACCCTAAACCCCAAACCCTAAACTAAACCCATAAACCCCTAAACCCCTAAACCCCTAAGCCCAAAACCCAAGATCGGTTTGCTGCGTCCTCAAAAACCGCCGGAGCTCGCAGCCACCAAAACCCCCCACAGCGCCCAGGTGTGCGAGCAGGGGCCTGGCAAGGGTTTCCACAAACTGATTCACAGGGTTTAGGGTTTGGGATTTGGGGTTTGGGGGTTGAGGTTTGGGGTTTGGGGTTTGGGGGCTTACCAGGATGAACGACTGAGCCTCCAAGCCTCAAAACCAACCCGTTGAATAGGGCCTTTTTAAGGGGTTACAGGGTATAATGACCCGTCCTGGTAGGGCTGATCTAGTCACAACTCCGTATAGCTCTAGTCACGACAAAGCATGAGGCCCTAAACCCTAAACCCTAAACCCTAAACCCTAAACCCTAAACCCTAAACCCTAATCCATGATGGGCCATGGTTGGAGGGTTCAGGGTGATGGGCCGTAGTTGGAGAGTTCAGGGTTTGCTTCAAGCTTAATTGGGCAGCTTTTGGTGCGCATAGAAGCCCTAAACCCTAAACCCTAAACCCTAAACCCTAAACCCTAAACCCTAAACCCTAAACCCTAAACCCTAAACCCTAAGTTACAGCGAACTCTATACACCAGAAACATTGCACGTATAAGGAAACTCCCATGCTGAAGCCTCAGTTCAAGTTCCGTCCTCCGCCACGACCCTACTTCTGCGTACCCATGGGCCTTCAAGTAGGGCCTTTCAGGCCCTCATCCCTAAACCCTAAACCCTAAAGCCTAAACCCTAACCCGGAAAAAAGAAAAGACGCTCCAGGCTGCAGTGCCTGGGCGCGGACGGGCTCCGTCGCAGCCGCTGCCGTGCCGACACTGGCACACTACATGCGCAAAGCATCCGTGGGAGTGCAGGCCTTCTGGTAGAGCCGTTCAGGGGTTTGGGTGTTTAGGGTTTTGGAAGGTTTTGGGCTTATAAGGTTGGGGGCTGACTGCTCTGGAAGCTTCATGCCTGGTGAAGAGTGGTGGGGGATTTCATGCGCCACGTTTGTGGAAAGTCTTTGGGCTGGAGCCACAGGCAGATGAGTTCATCAGCGCCAAGTGAGCTTCACGTCGAAAGTTGCCCTCCGCTCGGCTATCTTCATCTTGGCAGGCCTGGAACTTAGGTGCTTTCTTGAATCACGCCGCGTGATTTTTTTTTCCGCAGTCAAGATTTCTGGCAGCAACCTGGGGCGGGGGTTTAGAGTTTAGCAGCTCAGCAACTAGGGGGGGGCACAAGCTTGGCAAGAGCACAAGATCAGCATGGAATCGCATGGGGACGAAGAATCAATCCGTGCAGGCTGCGAGATGGGCACTCGACTCCCTAGCGGCGCCCTGTACACTATAAACCCTAAACCCTAAACCCGAAACCCGAAACCCTAAACCCTAAACCCTAAACCCTAAACCCGAAACCCTAAACCCTAAACCCTCCATCCATGCGAAAATGAGTCGTGTAATCAATGACGGCCAAGGTGCGGCATCTCCGCTTGTGGCGATCATTGGCCACCTCATTGCTTGAGTGCAGTTTGGGGTTTAGGGTTTGGGGTTTAGGGTTTAGGGTTTAGGGTTTAGGGTTGGGATGTTTGGGGTTTGTAGGTTTTGGGGTTCTAGGGTTAAGGTTGCAGGGTTTAGGGTATAGAGGTTAGAGTTCCAAGTAGCCCAGCAACAATATTCCAACAAGGGTACCCTTTTTGGGGTTTGTTGCTTGATAAGGGAACCCTGAACCAAAAAATGGCCAGAGGGTACCACTGGCCTACCAAGACTTAGAAAACTGACCATATATGGTCAGTTCTCTAAATAATTGGGGCGGCCTTTTCACAAGCAGCCCAAAGGAACCTCAGAGGTTCTTTGGGGGTTATTGAGGGGCTACTTATGTAAAAAGTTATTGGGGGTTATATACGGGAAGAAGATGAAGGGTCCCTTGTAAGGCTCCCTCCTTATACCCCTCAACTACTAATTGCTTAAGAACCCCCCCCCCCCCCCAAAAAAAATATGAAAATATTATTCCTTATTAAGGGTAATCTAGGGATTCTTATCTTTTATTCCGTTGGGGTTCTTTAAGCACATAGTAGTTAAGCCAAGGCGTCCCAGGCGCCAGCAGCTGCAAGTGGGCCAAGCGCTCCTGGGCATAGGCCAGCGAGTACCGGGCATCCTTGCACGCTGGAGTCGTCGACGTTGTGGCTTTACAGTGTCTAGACTCTAAACCCCAAACCCTTCTGCCTAAACTCCGAACTCTAAACCTTCAAAACCCTGGAACCCTAAACCCTGAACCCTATGTAGTCTTTGGGGGAGGGCAGAAATGTGTTCTCCCCCCACCTGGAACCCCAGACCATAGTCATTGCGAGGATATGACAACGTAGCTGCAGGGTAAAACCGTTGTAACCCCCCCCCCCCCCGAAATTGTGGGGGGTTGGGGGCCCAGGTAAACCTGAACCCCAAAGCCCTAGAACTAAAGCCATATGAAGCCCTAAATAACTCTTTATAACCCCATTAACCTGGAAAACCCTTTAAACCCCTGTAAAACCTTTCCTCTGAAACCCTCTAAAACCTCCATCAAACCCTCTATACCCTGGCAAAACCCTGAAACACCCTGTAAAACCCTATAAAACCCCCCTCCCATAAACCCCATAAAAAACCGAAACCCTGGCAAGTGCTCCAAAGCCCTACATAACTCTAGAAAGCCCTCTTTAACCTGTAAAACCCCACAAAAAACCATAAAAAAAAACCCTGTAAAAACCCTATTGAACCCCCCTCGGAAACTGTTTCAAAGCAGGGCCTAAAACCCCATAATACCCTCTGTAGGACCCAGAAAACCTGTAAAAACCCTATAGACTCTGAAACTGTTTCAATCCGGGGCCTGCAGCTCTTCGAAGAGTGCTCCGCTCAGGCGCGTGGCCAGGCGCAGGAGCTCCGACTCCTCAACGTGCTTCGGGGGAAACGCCCCATGCGTTTGGGTTTAGGGTTTAGGGTTTGGGGTTTAGGGTTTAGGGTTTAGGGTTTAGGGCTTAGGGCTTAGGGTTTAGGGTTTAGGGCTTAGGGGGGCTTAGGGCTTAGGGCTTAGGGCTTAGGGCTTTAGGGCTTAGGGCTTAGGGCTTAGGGCCTAGGGCCTAGGGTTTAGGGTTCAGGGTTTAGGGCTTACGGTGCAGCGTTTCGGGAAACCTAGGAGAAAAAAAGTGGTTTAAAGGGTTAAAAAAAAAAAACCGTCCAAACAAAATGGAATGAGGGCCTACCCTGGGTCCTGGTAGAAGGCCTCGAGGATGTAACATGCCGACTCAACTAACGAATGGGATAGACGTTGGGTAGTGCAAAGGGTTTAGGGTTATGTGGGTCTCCTGTATTGAGGCCTGAAGGACGACCAGCTCTCATGCTTACTGGCAGAGGGGTTGGAGGGGAGGGATATTTTCTTGAAGGACCGCCGGACCACTGCCATCCTCACACCGCCAGCAGTGTAATGAACCTACACAGGGCACCTGAACATGATTCTGTAGGTGAGGTTGATAGGCACACGTATTCTCATATCCCAGCGCAAAATACAAGTACACTACCTGCCGTGCCGATACAAAAACTTTCACGGACCACAGCCATTTGCAAGAAGTGACCCTAAACCCTATTCCCTAAACCCTAAAGCCTACAACAGCATTTCTTTCGCGACATTTCTCAGCAGGGTTAACGATTGACATCTTGGCATCACCTCCTGTTGTGATTGACTCACCACTCCGAGTTGTCGCTGCTCTTCTATGCCAAGGTTCTGCATCTTCATCAACCCTAAACCCTAAACCCCAAACCCTAAACCCTAAACCCTGGTCCAATGTGGGCTCCGAGCACGTAAATGTTTGAATGTGTTTGTTCCTTTTTGGGCCGTATATAAAGGGACTGACGTTTGCGACAACATATGTTGGCACCGCTTCTCTCCAAGCAGTTTTGCTTCATAGAATCGTGCGGATTTTGCCGCCAGGGGCCTTGAACATGTCTACACCCGAAACCTGCTTCCTGCCCAGCCACGGCTTGCAATGTGAAGTAGGGCTTATATTCCTTGCATCCCCAAAAGGACACCCAGTATATACACTTACCAATATTAAAAAGCAACCCTAAATACACCCACCAATAGCAGTAATATAAACCCTGCTTCATGTCGTTCTGGCATTCGCTTGCTTCATCATGAACTGCACCTTCATCTGACGGACACAACGCGGCATCAGCATCAAACTGTCTCGTCTTTTCTTCCTATGTCTGTAAGCATTTTCAGGTACCCTAAACGCTCAGGAAGATACTAGGAATAGCCCCCCCCCCCCCCCCCCCCCCCCCTCCCCCCAACCATCCAACCATGCCGATAAATCTACCCAAACAGGGTTTCCAAGAGGCAAGCGTCGTCAGCTGAGACCCTGAACCTGAACTCTACACTTTGCATCCCAATTTGAGTCCCCAACCCTAAGCTACTATTTGATTAAGAGCCCCCAGCAAAATCCTCCTTATCCTGTATTTTTGTTGATTGGTTCTGAAGCAAAAAGTAGTAACCCTAAACCCTTAAAGCCCTAGAGCCTAAACCCTAAACCCAATTGAATCCCCAACCCTAAGCCCTAAAGGCTCAAGCCTGCACTCATCCAAGCTGGCGGAATTGTCTCCTTGGTCGTTGCGCTCCGCTGCAGGTCGCTGAGGCCTCCGCAAAGCACACGGCCCAGGGCCACTAGTGGGGGTTTAGGTATATCAAATTATGCGTGTACCGTAGCAAAATTCGGAGCCTGTATGTATATATATATATATATATATATATATATATATACGTATATATGGTACCCCAAACAGGGCCCATAATTTAGAGAATCCACCCTACGAAAACCCTGAACCCTAAACCCTAAACCCTAAACCCTAAACCCTAAACCCTAAACCCTAAACCCTAAACCCTAAACCCTAAACCCCAAAAACAACTTTAGGGCGAAGCCCCCGGAGTGCCTGCAGCCAGCCGCTCCAAGGCAGGGTGCAAGCTTTGGGAAGCCTGAACCTCACGAATTCGGTTTAGGGTTTAGGGTTTAGGGTTTAGGGTTTAGGGTTTAGGGTTTAGGGTTTAGGGTTTAGGGTTTAGGGTTTAGGGTTTAGGGTTTAGGGTTTAGGGTTTGGGGTTTGGGGTTTGGGGTTTGGGGTTTGGTTTGGGGTTTGGGGTTTAGGATTTAGGACCTAGGATTTACGGTTGTGGGGGATAGGGTTTAGGGTGTAGAGTTTAAGTGGAAGGCTATGGGCTGCAGGGTTTTAGGAATTAGGGTTTAGGGTTTAGGGCTAGGGTTTAGGGCTACAGGGTCTAGGATTTAGGGCTACAGGGTTAAGAGCTCTCATAGGGTTTTAAGCCAGATTATGGGTTTAGGGATTCTCAAGCAAGCAAGATCCAAACAATGAACCCTAAGCGTAAAACCCCTAGACACTTAAATCCAAACACCCTAAACACCCTACCTTAAACCCAACAGCCTAAATCCACCCACATCCACACACCAATACACCAACATACCAACGCACCAACACAAAACAAGAAATGAAACCCTAAACAAGTCTACCCCTCAAAACCCCACACCACGCAAGGAAGCACTCGCCTCTTCGCCTTCTTCTGATGCTTTTGGGCGAGGTGTCCTCGGGCAGAAACCCCTACACTCTAAACCATAAAACCCCTCAACTCTAAACCACTAAACCCAACACCCTCTAAAACCCCGTAAAGACCCCTAAACCACTAAGACCCCCCCCAACCCCCGCAAGAAAAAAACAAAAAGAAAAGACTAAAGCCCCAAAGCCTCATACACCCTAAGCCCCCTTTCCTCTAAACAACCGTCCTACATCCCCACTAAAATACACCAAGCCCACCCCCACCCTAAACCTTACACCCCAAACCCTAAACCTTAAAACCCTACACCCTGCACCCCATACAGTAAACTCCAGAAAGTTGGAACATGGTCGAAGGATGATTAGAGCTGGGAGTTTAGGGTTTAGGGTTTAGGGTTTTGGTTTTTAATTCCCTTTAGTGTACCTTTTGGGGTATGTACACCTTGTGGGGTATGGGGATAAGGATGTTCCAAGTTTCTGGAGGTTACTGCACACCCGAAACCCTAAACCCTAAACCCTATAAGCCCACCCGGAAGGCCTCGTCGCCTCTGCCCAGCCGCGGAAGCATCGCACCGACGTGAAGGCCACGCGCTGCGCAGTTCGCATCCTCCGCGGCGTTCTAGATTTTATGGGGTTTAGGGTTTAGGGTTTAGGGTTGAGGGTATGGGGTTTAGGGTTTAGGGTTTGGGGTTTGGATATTTATGGTGTTTAGGTTTAGGGTTTAGGGTTTAGGGTTTAGGGTTTAGGGTTTAGGGTTTAGGGTTTAGGGTTTAGGGTTTAGGATTTAGGGTTAGGGTTGGGGCCTTAGGGTTTATGGGATTTATCGGGTTTACAGGATTTGCAGGGTGTGTAGGGTTTGGAGTTTAGGGCTTGTAGGGGTTTATTGGGTTTGCAGGGTTTGTAGGGTGTATGGGGTTAATAGGGTTTAGGGCACATGGTGTTTATTGGGTTTGCAGGGTTTTTGGGGTTTCTAGGGTTTGCGAGGGTGTTTGGGGGCGTGTGTTTGGTGGGGGGGGGGGGGGGGGGGGGCGGTGGGGGGTTTCAGTTTAGATTCCTTTTCGGGCTTTGGCAGTTTTGGGGGCGAAGGGGGTTCGGGTTGAGGAGTTAGGGTTTCAGGCCTAAGCGGTTGGGCAGTGGAACTTGCGCGCGTCGCTCAGGCGGCAAGGTAACACGGAGTCCCAGATTGCACAAGGTGCCCGCTCACCCTAAACCCTAAACCCTAAACCCTAAACCCTGGTAAGCCCTGAAACTGTTCCAGGCGCCGAGCTGTTCGGCTTCCTGCCGGCGCTCTTTGGCCCGCCTCCACGCAGAGCCACGGCCCTCTTGAAGTGCTGTGTCGGGTTTATAGGGTTTAGGGTTTAGGGTTTGGGCTTTAGGGTTTAGTGTTTAGGGTCTATTTCGGGTTCAGGGTTTAGGGTTCCATTTGGATCAGATGCTGAGGAATCTGTGATCGTTTGTGTTCAGGGACAACAAACAAGCTGCAGGAACATCTTTTGGCTATAGGTGTGGCTTGCATATTGGGATGTTGCTCCTTATACTTACAGTCCTTAATGGGGTTGATAGTACCCTCTATTCTAATCCCTATTCACTAAGGACTGTTGGTATAAGGGGGAATACCCCAACTTGCACATTACACCAGGAAAACGAACATCTCGCAAGGGCACCCCCAAGATAGTGCCGGCCTTGTGTAGCCAGCCCAAGCGTCCCAGACGCTCGGCATCACCCTGGTTCACGTGTTTAGGGTTTAGGGTTTAGGGTTTAGGGTATAGGGTATAGGGTGGTGGGCTTAGGGGGTTAGGGGATTAAGGGACCCTAAACCCTAAACCCTTAACCCTAAACTAGCTATAAACATGCTTTGAAGAGCCCGCGCTGCCATCGACTGCACATCACTGGTGGCTTTGTCCCCTTCCGCGCATCCACGCCTCTAAGCAGGTGACAAGCACAAGCCTCAGCAGGATTTAGGGTTTAGGGTTTAGGGTTCAGGGTTTGGGTTTAGGGTTTAGGGTTTAGGGGCCTGGCTACAGCCAGGCCGCCCCTGTACAGTCAATGCAAAAACCTAGGGCGAAAACACCCTTGTCACTGCAAAGTGCAAGAATCAACAAGGCCCTCAGAGGCCTCCCTTCTTTCAAATCCAGGGCAGCACAAAGAGCATCTGGCATGACAGCATCAGCAGCACAAAGAGCACAGGCGTAAGTCCCTCACTCGAGCTACTTGCTCAGTCCCACTGCTGCCATGCTCTCATCCCACACTTTCTTGGCGAAGGCCTTGTCGTAGGCATCGGGATGGGCGATCCACCGATGACATCCCCATGTGAGCAACTGCCCCAAGAACTCATACACCATCATGAACATGCCGCTTGCAGGCGGGCTTCGGTAGGGCGGCGCGTAGTAGGGCTGTAAGAAGACGCCGGTCTCGAGCCCTTCGTCTGCTAGCAAGGCCTGAAGTTCCGTCTTGGCGCCCTCTTCGCTCGGCTGCGCGAAGACCGGAAACCAACCGTCGACACCATCGCGTTCCGAGTAAGGCTTCAGAATCGCCGTGCTGATGAAGCCTCAGTAGCCCAGTAGCCAAATTATCACAAGGGGTGCACTTTTTGGGTTGGCTACTTTAATAAGGGAACCCAAAACCCAAAAAAGGGGTGAAGGGGTACCTCTGGGCTGCCACGCAGCCAGGTGCAACAGGTGTGCAAGGTACCTGTGGCTCGCGCCTTTGCATCTCGAAACACATGAAGACCTGCAGTAGTTTCGTGTTGCCGTATTGGCGCATCTTTGCAAAAGACCCCAAGTCTTTATCACTGCGGTTTTGCATAGCGCTTGGCAGCAAGGTCTCCAGATCAGTGTCGTGGTACCAGTGGGCAATGCTACTGGTGGCTGCAATCCGACCGTTGCTTTTCTTCAGCAATGGCAGCAGCAGCTGTGCCAGAAGAAAATGGCCCAGGTAGTTACTCGCATAGAGCATCTCATAGCCGTCAGTGCTCAACCACGCGCCATCATGACTGACCAAGAAGGTCATGCCCGCATTAGCATTCAAGAAATCCAACCTATCGTATTTGTGAAGCATTTTCGATGTGAAGTCTCTGACGGCTTGCAACGACGATAGATCCAGCGCGTAGGGGTCGCACCGGCCCGGACTGCCCTGCGTTCGCTCCTCGATGTACGCGCATGCCTGCTTGCTACGCTTCTCGGACCGAGACACTACGAGCACGGTACACCCCTTGGAGTGCAGGTATTGAGCTACGGCTCGACCGATGCCACTGCTGCTTCCAGTGACCAAACCGACCATGCCCTCGAGTGGGAACTCACCTTTACGGCTCTGGAGCAATGAGCCTGCTGCACCAGGTTCATCGAACCAGGGCCGCCGCTGGTAGAACGCGAAGTCCTGCCGGCCGTCAGCTGGCCCGCTGGCTGGTGGTTCGAGCGGCGACACGAAGCCGGCGTAGAAGCTGGCAGCCAGGAGAACCGGAATGACCAGCGTGGCGACGCGCATCTTCGAGAATGAAGGAAGTCGAGTCAAAAGGGCCACTACCTACTTTCTAAACCCTAAACTAGGGGTACCCCTAGCATACGCCGGACCCCTTCCTCAACCAAAGAAATACGGTAGTCACGATTTAGAGGCACTTCTGGGCTACATGGTGCTACACACCGGCAGAACATCAAGTCAAGGCGGTCGTGCGAAACGAAGCCGCAGGTCATGGCTGCAGTTGGTGATTCAGGAAGTCTTTGACCTCGTTTTAGGCTAATAGGGTTTAGAGGACTTACTGTAGGGTTTAGGGTAGCACAGCAGCACGACAACTACTTTCAGCCGGGGGCTAAGGTCCTAAACCCTAAACCCCAATCCCTAAACCCTAAAACCCTAAACCCTAAGCCCTAAGACCTAATCCCTAAACCCCAATCCCTAAACCCTAAACCCTAAACCCTAAACCCCAAACCCTAGACCCAAGCCCCAACTCCGCCTGTGCTTGGTGTTGCTGAGGCGCCGCAGATCCACCTGGCATGGCAGAGATCTGTACATCCCGAAACCCTGAAGTCACCTAAACCCTAAACCCTAAACCCTAAACCCCTAAGGCCCTAAGGCCCTAAACCCCTAAGGCCCTAAGGGCCTAAGGCCCTAAGCCCTAAACCCTTCAACCCTGAAATCCCCCACACTCGCTACTCAAGGTGTAGGCAGACCCCTAAACCCCCCAAACCCTACACCCTAAATCCTAAAGCCTACATCCATCGCTGTGTACTTAGGGTAAGTTTCTTAAACCCTAAACCCTAAACCCGAAACCCGAAACCCGAATCCTAAAGCCTGGGTAAGTTTCTTCAAGGGTTTTTTTGCGGGTCGGCATACGGACTCGGGGCTTGGCTCTGAGGTGCGTAGAAAGGGGTTCTTTAAGGCGTTGGTGGTTTTAAGGGCTTAGAGTAAGGCTTATGTGCATGTATATATATATATATATGACTCATTTTGTAAGGCGGGGGGGGGGGGTTCTCTCTCTCTCTCTCAAGGGAGATATAGGGGGGTTCTATCTCTCTCTCTCTCTCTCTCCCTCAAGAGAGAGAGAGAGAGATATATATATATATATAGTATCTATATATATATATACACACATATACAGGGTCTATATATGGTTTAGGTTTCTACTCTGGGTTCACGGCCTAAACACCCTAACGACCTTATATGGGGGTTTACAAACATAAACGGCCCTCATATAGACCCCCAAATAGTAGGGTTCCCTCCCAATAAGGTACCCTAAACCCTAAACCCTAGACCCTAAACCCTAAGCCCTAAACCCTAAACCCCCCATATCCCTTTGGGCCTTGAGCTCTGCCAGTCGGCGCTCCAGGTTGCGGCCAACTCCTCACAGCGACTTTCGCGCCCGAGTTTTCATGAAAGCTCACGACTCGCCCCAGGGTCCGCAAGCCCGAAATTCGGGTGGCTGCGACTTAGGGTTTAGGTTTTAGGGTTTAGGGTTTAGGGCTCTACACATTCTACGCTGGGTTCGCTGGACCCTAAGAACCGAACCTGAAACCCACAGAAGGCCTCGGATCCGCCCGCACAGGCGATCTGAACTGAGCGCGAGGACGCCGGAGCCTTCATGGAGCTTCGGGCTTGAAAGAGGTAGGCTCAGAGTTCAGGGTTTAGGGTTTTAGGGAGGTCAGGGAGAGTTCAGGGAGTTTAGGGGTTTAGGGAGTTTAGGGGGGTCTGGAGAGTTTGGGAGGTTGGGAAGCTTAACGTCAGAGGTTTCCGGGGTTAGGGCTTAGCACTGATGCTTGAGGGCTTCTTGGGGTACTTGATAAGGCTTACGGCTTCACATGTGTTTAGGGCTTGATGCTTGAGCCCTAGGGTTCTTGGGCATTAAAGCTTGAGTCTTCGGGCTTCTGCGGCATCAGGGCTTGAGCCGTAGGGTTTCGGGGTCTTGTGAGGGCCTAAGCGCTTTACTTGGAGGTTCATGGGCACTTAGAAGTAGGGTTTTAAGTATGGTAGATATGGGTATAACCTTACTTACGGGGTTTATCACCCTACGTAGAAGTGCCCATGAACCTCCAAGTAGCGTCAAGGTCTACAATGTATTGCTGGTGATGTACCATGACCTCCCTGAACACTTACTGCAACACACCCCTAAACCTGAACCCTTAAACTGGAGAATCCCCAGAGCGCAGCTGCACCAGCCAAATGGTTGAAGTTTGAGGGTTTAGAGCCAGGGGCCCATACAGGTGGCAAGAGGGCTCCATTCTAATGACACTGAACGGACTTCAGGCGTACTATTCTGCTTGGAGGTTCATGGTACTTATCAACCAATTAGAACTGTACTCATAACCCGCTTATAAGACCCTTAAGTGTCCTCATATGGTTCTGAGTACAGATATAATTGCTTACTAAGTACCCTGAACCTCCAAGTAGGGCCAAACAAGGGTTTCGGGTTTAGGGAGGCTGTTTTCTTCCGCGCGCCGCGCTCCTTGCTTCAGCAGAGGTGCCTCGGAACTCGAGTGACTAAGGGTCAACTTGGACCTAGTCCCTCCCAGAATATGCAGGGGTTAAGGGCTTTAAGGGGTTAAGGGTTTAGGGTTTAGGGCTGCAGCAGCATGTTTCGGGCAATTTTCTCCGTGCACTCTTGCCGTTCAGGTACACGAGCAACGACAGTGCCAGACATGCCACATCCCAAACCCTAAACCCTAAACCCTAAACCCTAAAACCCCTAAACCCTCAAATCCCTGAACCCCCAAGTCCCCCACGCTCCTCACACACAGCACGGACCAGCGCCATTCAAGGTGTAGACAGACCCCTAAACCCTAAACCCTAAACCCTAAACCCTAAACCCTAAACCCTAAACCCTAAACCCTAAACCCTAAACCCTAAACCCTAAACCCTAAACCCTAAACCCCTAACCCTAATGTGTCAAGTTGCCATCAGCGCTCGCTGCTCATCACCTGGTCCAGGGCATCCACGAGGTTATCTGCCCCCGCCTGCAACACTGCAATGCAAAGCGAAACAAAACCCAAAACCCCAACCATAAACCCTATCAACCCTCTAAACCCTATAAATCCTAGAAGCCCTATAAACCCTATAAACCCCATAAGCCCTATAAACCCAATAAACCCGACAAAACCCTATAAACCCCATAGCCATAGACCCTAGAAACCCTATGGACCCTATAAACCCCATAAACCCTAAACCCTAGCCCTAAACCCTAAACCCCAAACCCTATAAACCCTGAGCAGCATCCTCTCTCCTCCACCCCCGGCTCAAGCTGCCAGAAACCCCCTGGTTCTTTGTAGGGATTGAGGGAAGGAGGACCCTTTCTATACACTTTGTAAGGGATTTTATATGTACATATACCCTTGAAGGGATTATATAGAGCCCTATTCTATACCCTTTAAGGGATTATATAGGGCCCTATTATATACCCTTTAAGGGGTTCTATATGTATATGTACCCTCTAAGGAATTATATGGGGCCCTACTAAATACCCTTTAAGGGATTATATAGGGCCCTTATATACCCTTTAAGGGTTTATCTAAGGCCCTATTATATACCCTTTCAGGGATTATCTGAGGTACCTGATTCGCTTGAGGCACGTCTGAGCACCCCACGCCAAGGATGCAAACTCCCGTTGTCACCAGCAGGTTCGCGGCAAGTACTGCCAATGTATACCTGAGGATCCCCGGTCCCTAACCCTATATAACCCTAAACCCTAAACCCTGAAGCCTAAACCCTGAACCCTGAACCCTAAACCCTGAACCCTAATGTGGGGTCGGGGGGTGGGGTTGACGAAAATGCTGGGCCCTCCTTGGTAATTTGATCTTAGACTAGAGTGCATATCGCACAAAAGGCACACCCTGAAAATGGCCCAGAGTATGGCTCAGCCTCCCTGTCTCCAAAACCAAGATGTCTGGGCTCTTGTTAAGGAACTCGAATTTCCAGCTATCACAATGAGGGTACTCGAAATGAGCGCTATAACCCTTTTCTGGCAACTTTAAGTTACGCTCCTTGACAAGAGCCCAGCAAAGGTTTCTTGCAGCCCCAGGTGCGGCAGCAGCGGCACGTCCTACGAAGGCCGGAGATTCATGGCTTCGGGTGTTTGAAAGTTCCATGGGTCGCTATAAGTGGTGTCCTAGGCTATCTTCAGTAAGGCTGTAAATCGGCCGCCTTACTTACTCTACTTAGAGCAACCCATGAACCTTCGATACTTTAGGGCCTCACGCAGAACCAGGGGTCGTAACATTGTGCCGGGGTCTGAAGAAGAACCTTGAGCCTAAAACCCTTAACCCCTAAACCCGTCAACCCTGAACCCATTTACCCTAAACCCGAAACCCGAAACCCTAAACCCTAAAACCCCAAACCCTGAACCCTCAGCCCATTTCAACCTCCGAGCTCTCCTCTGGTGGGAGCAAGGCAAGGGCGTAGTTTTTCACCCCTGTCGAGATCGGTGCTAACCTTCCAGGGCAAGTAAGTCGAACAATCTGCACATCAGGGTTTAGGGTTTAGGATTTGGGATTAGGGTTTAGGGTTTGGGGTTTAGGGTTTCCACAGCTGCGTTGCAAAGGAGACATGCTTCCACCCTTGCCCGACTGCTTCTGAACAGGGACATCTGCACCAAAAGTACTCCTGCCACTTGCTGTTTCAAGCCCCCGGCCTAGCCAGGAAAAGAGCCTGGACAATGACGGACATGGAGAGTGGGTTTAGGGTTTAGGGTTTAGGGTTTAGGGTTTATAGCCTAAACCCTAAACCCTAAATCCTAAACTGCGCGCCTGTCAAGTGCAGTGTGGAGCATCCACAACTGATGCTGACCCACCCATCTGAATCCCTGAAACTCAAGGTTCCCTGAACCCTGTAGAGCACTAAAACCCCTCACTAAAACCCTAAACACTCCATAAACCCCAAAGCCCCTCAACCCTACAAACCCCTCCACACCCCTAACACTAACGCCCTCAACCCCTCAGCCATAAAGCCTCTAAAGCCCCAAAACCCTCAAAGCCCCTCAACCCTACAAACCCTACACCATA